AAAACATGAAATTTTGGCATAATCTTGCACCGAAGTGTCTGCTTCTGACTGAATAGAGATAATTTTTGGAACACACCGAGCTGAAATACATGTTGAAAAACTAATAAGTATTTCTGCTTTTTTTAAAAATCTTCATATTAGGTATATGAAGATTTTAATGGAAATATCCAAATTGTTTTCATTTTGCTAATGGATCAGCAACCCAATAGTTTATTTACTTTTTAACTGTAGTCGTATTCTCACAAGATAAACATCTTTCAAAAGAAAATAACCCATTATCATTAAAAGTTGTCTAATTACGCTGATTATTATATAATTACCGTCTGTCTATAAATGTGCTTTGACCAATTCGTACGATAAAAAGCTTCCAGTGGACGACTATACACATATGCGAAATCTGACAAAATCCTTCCAAAGGACGTCCAGCCTAAGGTTACATTTTGCTTACCAGAGACAAGGGATTATTTCCTGTCTCTGTTGCTTACAATGGTTCGTGTAAATTCATACGATTGATTTCGGATCTAGTGGACGAGCTTCAATTATTTGCAATGAAATTGGATCATTAGCGCCTTTTCGCACGAGTTCTGACGAAACTAGTTTGGACGAAAACGCAACGAAGGGACCCCGGCCCACGGACTTCTTCTTCTTCTTGGTTAGCATTTAGTTATCCACTGCTGGATATAAGCCTTTTCCAATTGTCTCCATGTGTCCCTATCTAGGGCAAGTTGGTCCAAGTTTCGGTCCACCGACTGCTTGATGTCGTCTAGCCATTTCTCTTGGGGTCTTACAAATCTTCTTTTTGTTGATCGTGGCCGCCATTTCACCAGGTGTATTGTCCACTGTGCTGCCTTGCCATGTGCCCAGCACTTAAGTTCAGCTACGCGCTCGATTATGTCTTTTACCTTGGTCTTCCTCCTTATTTCTGTATTGCGTATTTTGTCGCGCAGGCTGATTCCCAGCATGGATCTTTCCGTCGCTCTCTGGGTTGTTCTAAGGCGTTCTGTCATTTTCTGCTTTAAAGTTACAGTTTTCAGCCCATATGTAGATACTGGTAAGATGCATGCGTCATAGACTTTTTTAAATTATATCCCAATTTTTCATATGCTGAGCCCAGTCATATTCTCCTGGTTATCTCAGACGTTTGATTTTTCTTGCCCAATTTAATTAAATAACCTATGGGTGTCACACCTTTAATTAAATGACCTATGTGGACACAGGGTGTCGCAATAACGATGGTAAGCGGCAGTATCTTGGAAAGTATGCGTTGTAGAGTGAAAAAAAAACAAACTTGACGATAAGAATTTGCCGGAAATTATTTTGAAATTTCTCAGATGACCACTAGATGGCGTAATTGCAAACGGTATTTTAAAAAGTCGACTTTATACAGAAATTGTCCCTATAAGTGAAACATCTAGTAAGTTTGAAAATAGTGGAAAAAATAAAACAACATTTTTTTTTTCAAAGCCTACTTTAATTATTTGAATTAGACAACCTTTATTATTTTCAAGTATTAAATTGTTAAACGGTTTAACTCTCCCCCCACGCTTTATTTGACAAGTTTGGAAAAAAGTTCATAAGGAAAGTAGTACGGTTTTTATGATATTTTAACTAAACTTACTAGATGTTTCACTTATAGGGATTATTTCACTCATCCATAGCAACGCCATAGGGCAAAAAAGGTATTAATAAACGGTAATTCGATAATTTTCGAAAAAACTTACA